GGGTTTGGTTAGGGATGACTGGATGAGGTGTGAATGGGTTTGGTTAGTGATGTCTGGGTGGGGTGTGAATGGGTTTGGCTAGGGATGTCTGCACCAGTGTTGTATGTTGAAAATGCTCACCTTCCTCCGCTAAGTTGCCTTTGTGGAAAAGGAGTCGAACATATATAAGCGGATCTGGTGTGGTGCATTTTGGGTCTGCGTGTCATACAGGTTCCTCTGTCTGTCTCTCACCAGTGTTCACTCCAGTGTCTGGGAACCTCCTGTAGTTGACCTTTGCCCTTTCACACCCATCAGAGCATCAGCTTGCTGACCCTGTAAAGAAGCCGGCCATGACTCTGACTGGGTCATTTTGGGTGGAACAGCCATCAGAACAGCTCTGAGGCTTCTATCCACAGGCATTTTATACACTTGTATTTTCTTGGGTTGACCCAGGGTCAGTTCCCAGAACCCACATGGTAGCACACAACTATCTGTAACTCCAGTTCTGGGGGACCCCAGTTCCTTTTTCTGGCCTTCATAGGCACCAGACACATGTGGTACACAGATATACATAAAATACAATAAAAATTAAGGTATCAGTTTAGCTACTAATGGAGATACATTGCTGTTTGTGCAGTGGTCTTGTATCTAGCCTTACTATCTTATCCTGGTATTTCTTTCTTTGGTAGGTTCCTTGAGGTTTTCTGTATAGACAGAAACAGTTTAATTTATTCTTTCCAATTGATACGCCTCTTACTGCTCTGGCATGCTGGCTCAGGTTCCAGCAGGAAGTTGGCTAGAAACAGTAAAGTAGATGTCTTTTCTCCTTGTTCCCAGTCTCAGAAGGAACACACTCAATATTATTTCCTCATTAAGTCTGATGTTAGTAACAGAGCATTGATTTGATTCTGATTATTATTTTTTTTTCTGATTATTATTTTTTAAGACAGGATTTTACAAAATAACTCTGGCCATCTTAGAACAGGCTGTGTAGAACAGACTGGCTTTGAACTCAGAGCTCTTCATTCCCCGGCCCCTGTCCCTGCCTCTGCCTCCTGAGTGCTGCATTAAAGGTCTGCAGCCCCACCCCTGACTTTGTTTTGTTTTCGTAGATGGCTTTCAGGCCAAGCTAATGAAACTCTTAAGAGTTTATGAACAGATTTTATCATGAAGGAATGTTGAATATTTTAATTTTTGCATGACTCTTCTGTAGTTTGTTGAAACAAATTATTTGATTTTCAAATATTAAGCTAGCTTTATATTCTTTGTATAAGATCCATTTGGTTATACCCAGGTTTGGTGGTACATACCTTTAATCCCAGCACTCAGGAGACAGAGAAAGGTGAATCTCTTGTGAGTTTGAGGCCAGCCTGGTCTACATAGCAAGTTCCAAGCCAGACAGGGTTACATGGTGAGATACTATCTTTAAAAAGCTAAACCACTGGATGTGGTGGCGCAGGCCTTTAATCTCAGCACTTGAGAGGCAGAGGCAGGAGGATCTCTATGAGTTCAAGGTCAGCCAGGTCTACAGAGCAAGTTCCAGGACTGGTTCCATAGCTACTGAGAAACTCTGTCTCAAAAAATCAAAAAAGAAAGAAAAAGAAAAATGAAAAACGAGCCAAACAAACAAAACCAAACAAGCAAAGAAAACAATAAAAACAAAGCAGAGATCTGGAGAGATGCCTCAGAGGTTAAGAGCACGGGCTGTTCTTCCAGTGGGCCTGAATTCAATTCCCAGCACCCACAGGGCAGCTCACAGCCATCCATAGCTTCGGTCCCAAGGGATCCACCACCCTCTTATGGCTAGGCATGTACAGATATACATGCAGACAAAACATCCATATACAGAAAACAAATAAATAAATTATAAAAACACAAAACAAAAAACGTTCATTTGGTTATTATCTATTATTCTTTTTAAATATTACAAGATTCCACTTGCTAGTACTTTATAAAGGAATTTTGAATCTTTGTGAACAAGGACATTGGTCTATGTTTTCTTATGATGCCCGTATAAGGTAGCTACTCCTTTTTGAATTAGCTTTGGTACTTTCTATCGTTCCAGGCATTTGTCTGTTATTACGGGATCTGTTTGCTCTTGGTATTTCGTTCTTAGCATCTCCTTGGCCTGTAGGATCTACACTGACGCTCTCCATTCATGGCTTGCTGATGTCTCTCTTCTCCCATTCTCTCTTTCCCTTTGTTGCCTTTCCCCTACCGTCCCATCCCCTTCCTCCACTGTTCTTCCTTCCTCTCCACTGACCTGAGCAAAAGACTTAACCAATTCTACTGGCCTCTTCAAGGAGGCAGCTCTTTGTTTCATTGATATTCATTTTTTTCTATAATCTCTTTTTAATTTTGTGATTCTGAAGGGTGGGACCTAAGACCCATGTGTATATCAGACATCCACTCTCCACTACTCAGCCCTAATTTTCACTGTTGTTTTTCTGTTTTCATTGTTAATTGATTTCTGGTTTAGATTTAAATTGCTTTCATTGCTGTAAAATTACTGTGGAAGCTTAGGTAAATGACTGGAGACTTCCTTCTTTTTCTGAGGATTAATGCTTGAAATTTTCCTCTATGCACTAACTTCATCTCAGAATCTTGGATGGGCCACATTTTCTATTTTCTTTCTTTCTTTTCTTTCTCTTTTTTTTTTTTTTTTTGGTTTTTCCAGACAAGGTTTCTCTGTAGCTTTGGAGCTTGTCCTGGAGCTAGCTCTTGTAGACCAGGCTGGCCTCGAACTCACAGAGATCCACCTGCCTCTGCCTCCTGAATGCTGGGATAAAAGGCGTGCACCACCATGACCTGACTCAGATTTTTTTCTAATATACTCTTCAACTTGACCCATGGGCTGCTTACAATTTTGCTATGAAATTTTTAAAAGTTTAAGATTCTTTCTATGGTTTAGAACTGTTAGTAAATATTCCATACATGCTTGAAAAGGTCGTCATTCTGTGTTCTGGGTGGGTGGACTGTTGTGTGACAGTGCTGTTCAGGTTGACAGTGTTGATCAGATTGACAGACAGTGTTGTGTCAGATGGTGTTGTGTCAGATTGACAGTGTTGTTCAGATTGTCAATATTGTTCAGATTGATAGCGTTGATCAGATTGACAGTGTTGGATCCTGTGCCAGTCTAGAGGCTCCTTAAGGCTGGAGGGAGTCTACCACCTGCACCTTAGGGACTACAGCATCTCAGCAGAGGGACAGGGCTCCCACAGAAGCAGACCTTAGGTATTGACAGCGTTTCTGTGAAATAGATACTTACTTCATGGGTCAAGAGTGACCAAAACTCACAGTGCTCCAGAATAGGAAGGGCCCTGGTGTAAGGTGTCCTCTGCCATGCCTGCAGAAGGTCCGGAATAGGAAGGGCCCTCGTGTAAGGTGTCCTCTGTCGTGCCTGCAGAAGGTCCGGAATAGGAAGGGCCCTGGTATAAGGTGACCTCTGCCATGCCTGCAGTGTGTCCATTATGGGAAGGTCCTAGTGTAAGGTGACCTCTGCCATGTCTGCTACAGGTGAAGAATGAGGTTGAGAAACTGCCCCGGCAGCAGCGAAAAGAGAGCATGAAGCAGAAGATGGAAGAACACTCACAGAAGAAGCAGCTACTCGTGAGTCCCCAGGCTTGGTCACTTAGCCACAGTCATGAAGCAGTGACCCAAATCGTACCCCCCTTAACCTTCCCAGGCCTGCTGCTTCAATATCCTCCTCCTGTTTTGAATGCCTAAATCTTACCCATCATTCATTGGCCCCTTGATCCTCCCTGATCACCCTCACACCCCAAGAGTGGGCCTTGTCGTCTCTGGCCAATGCAGCCTGCACCTTAGTCCTGCCTACCTTACTGCAAATTATTTATATGTCACATCTCCTGTCAACCAAGATCAGTCACCTGCCTACTTGATGTCTAAAGGACATCCAAATCTTCATCTCCCAGACCTAACTCTGTTATTATGTCCTGAGGAGGAACTTGTCCCTGTCCTGTTTTGGGGCCAGAACTTTTGTTGTTCCTGTCCCATCCTTTCCCTCCACTTCTCCATCACCTCCTGAAGCTTGGTACACACACACACACACACACACACACACACACACACACACACATGCACACACACATGACACACACTCCCCACACATGTAATATATTATATGAACATACAACACACACGTCCCAACACATACCATATTATAGCATACATATATGTAGGAGGAGGCCACTTGTTGGTTCCCGGTTGCTTAGCCTCGGAATAATCACACAGAAAGTGTATTAATTAAATCACTGTTTGGTCCATTAGTTGTAGCTTCTTATTGGCTAATTCATACATATTAATTTAACCCATTTCTATTAATCTATGTATCACCACGTGACTGTGGCTTACTGGCTAAAGTTGCGATGTTTATTTCTGGCAGGGCTACGTGGCTTCTCTCTGACTCTGCCCTTCTTTCTCTCCACATTCACTTTAATTTTCCCTGCCTAGCTCTTTCTGCCCTGCTCTGCTATAGGCTCAAAGCAGTCCTTTATTAACTAATGGTATTCACAGCATACAGAAGGGAATCCCACATCATCTCCCCTTTTCTGTTTAAATAAAAAGGAAGGTTTAACTTTAACACAGTAGAATTACATAAAACAGCAAGAATTACAGTTACAATATTTATATCTGGGCCGGAGAGATGGCTCAGTGGTTAAGAGCACTGTCTGTTCTTCCAGAGGTCCTGAATTCAATTCCCAGCAACCACATGGTGGCTCACAACCATCTGTAATGAGATCTGGTGCCCTCTTCTGGCATGTAAGCATGCATGCGGGTACATAATAAAAAAAATAAATCTTTAACAAAACAATATTTATATCTACTTTATCTTTTATCATAACTAAGGAAAACTATAAAAATAACTATCTATTCTTCAACTCTTTCAAAGACTCCAGAAGTATATAATATTACCTAAGTAACAGGAAGTGCATTGTCTTTGAAAGCTTTGAAGAATGCCTATCAATCTGAAATACATATCTGTCTATCTAGAAAACCCAACTAACATGACTACAAGCTTGACTCTCATGGATGACTATCTATTAACCTGTATTTCTTAATTATACATTACATTTTTAAATGTGCTGGACAAACACAATCCCTTAATAATGATCAGAAATACATATACACAGTATAACAAAATTAACCTTAAATTTGTATCAGTAAACCAATACCATACCAATGCAAATCCCTATAGCACATATATACTAAACATATACCACAGATATACATCACACACACACGCAAGCACATATTTCCATCCACCCACCCATCCATCCACCCACCCATCCATCCACCCATCCATCCGTCCATCCATATTTCTCCCATCTTTGGACCTGTGAATCTGGCAGTGTTGCTGGGTCCCCACCGTTGTTGCAGCTCTCCCAACTCCCAGCTATTCTTCCTGCTTCCTCTTGCTTTCCTGTGCTTCTTTCTCTTGCACCAGCAGGTATTGTCGATACAAAATCCAAAGCTGACCCTGTCACCCTTTTCCCCTCAGCTCTGTGCCTTAAAACCCTCTCCCTTTGCCCATGAGCTGAGGCCTTCCTCACTGTGCCTGCTGCTGCCTGGCCCTCCCGGCCCTTCCCAGCTTGACCCCCCCCCCTCGGTCCAGCCTCTCACCTCTTGCTGGAATGCTCCTGTTTTCTCCACTGTGGGATCTTTGAACATTCTGCCTCCTGAGCCCTGGGTGCAGGCAGTCGTAGCCCATGTGGTACCTTGGGGTAGAAGCTCTTTGGTGTTCCATTTGCAGAAGAATCAAAACTCAGAAAGGTGATGCTGCAGAGTTGAGGGCAGTGGGGCAAAGTCTAGTACTTGACCTGACTCCAGATTTCCAGTCTTTTCAGTGTCCCTCACAACCTGTCTCTTTCTAGGCAAATGAAGAAATTTTTGTTTTGTTTTGTTTTGTTTTTTGTTTTTCAAGACAGGGTTTCTCTGTAGCTTTGGAGCCTGTCCTGGAACTAGCTCTTGTAGACCAGGCTGGACTCAAACTCACAGAGATCCACCTGCCTCTGCCTCCCGAGTACTGGGATTAAGCCACCACCACCCGGCTTAAAGAAATGGGTTTTTGTGTTCAGTAGTAGCACAGAAAAGGATGATCCTACTCAATAATAATGTATTTTCAATACAGTGAGAAGAGGGTTTTCAATGTTTTACACAAAGAAATGATAAATATCTGAGGTGTTAGACATATAAATTCCCCCAAACTCCTCAGTACATAGGCACACACGTCCTCAAGCAGCACACTGCATCCATGTAATTTTTTAAAGATTTTATTTATTTATTATGTATACAATATTCTGTCTGCATGTATGCCTGCAGGCTGGAAGAGGGCGCCAGATCTCATCATAGATGGTTGTGAGCCACCATGTGGTTGCTGGGAATTGAACTCAGGACCTTTGGAAGAGCAGGCAATGCTCTTAACCACTGAGCCATCTCTCCAGCCCACATCTTCACAATTATTATGAGCAGATAACTTTTTTAAACACAGGGCTAGGGGCTGGGAGAGATGACTCAGCAGAGAGCATTTTCTGCTTTTGCAGGAGATCTGGGTTAGGTTCCCAGCACACATGTTGTGCAGCTTGTGGACACCTGTAACTCCAATTCCAGAGACTCGGGGTCCTCTTCTGGCCTCCACAGGCACGTGTGGTACATACTCAAACACATGAAATAAACAGTTTAAATAAACAAACCAAAGCTGGTGAGAGAGGCAAACAGGCCCTCATCTTCACAGCGAGAGAGAGCGCGCATGTGGCGTGCGCTAAGTTACCCAAGCCTCATTGTCCTTCCCTCAGGACCGAGACTTTGTAGCCAAGCAGAAGGAGGACCTGGAGCTGGCCATGAAGAAGCTCACCATAGAAAACAGGCATGAGATCTGTGACAAAGAACGAGAGTGCCTCAGCAAGAAGCAGGAGCTCCTCAGAGGTGGGGCCCAGAGTCACTCGAGATGATGGAAGTAGAGGCAGCCCTCCCACCCCTGGCCCCTGGGAAGTCAGGAAGGAGGCATGGATAGCCATTACCACAGCACACAGAAGCAGCAGCTTGTGTGACTGCCGCTTGCCCCACTGTGTGCTAGTCAGTGTTCACCCCTGACCTCATGCTGTCCTTGCCTGTAAGATAGCTCCCACCATGAGCCTAATGTATAGTGAGGGAACCGCCCTGGGGAGAGCTCCTATGCGTCTTGATCTCTTGACGCTACTCCAAGTGAATTCCAAGCCCAAATGGCTTAGAAGCAACAGAAAGGCAAGGAAGCCCAAGGACCCAGCAGATCAGTGCCCTCCGAGGACCTGCTTCCTCATGGGATGGTCTCACCCGCATCACCTCCACACAGGTGCCCCATCAGAGCCCTTCTTGTCAGAAAAGAAGGGGCGTTAATGTAGATTTTCCTTAACAGTGTCGTTGAAGAGCATTTCCTCTTCAGGGTTTGCTTGTGCCCTTTGGTAGAGGAGGAAGCTGTGGCCTCTGTCCCCATCCCAGCTCCAGCTGCCCCCTGCCTGCTGACCTGCGGCAGCTTCTCAGCTCCCAGGCTGCGGGGGGGTGGGGGGGGGGGTGTCATCTCTTAGTTTCCTCCGCTCCACTCAGGTCAGCCAGTGCGGTTTAATGAGGTAGCCTAGGTGCCCATTCCTCTGAGACCGACACCGGGTTGGTCGTCAGTCCCAGCAGGAGCCTCACTGGGAGTGAGGAGGGGGCGGGAGATGTGTCCGGTCTCTGGCCCCGTCCACTCCTTACCTTGTGGGTGGCGTGTCCTCCGCAGAGCGTGAGGCAGCCCTGTGGGAGATGGAGGAGCACCAGTTGCAGGAGCGGCACCAGCTGGTGAAGCAGCAGCTTAAGGACCAGTACTTCCTGCAGCGGCACGACCTGCTGCGCAAGCACGAGAAGGTGAGGCGGGGCTGGGAGGTGGGGCAGCTCCATCACGGCGCCCGGGAGGGAGGGGCTTCCGTGACCGTCTCCTGGGTGCCCTGCTCCAGGGGCAGAAATCAAGGAAGTCGTGTGAGGGCCGCAGATGATGCAGACGGCTCCTCTGCTCACCCCAACGCCTCAATGCTGGGCTCTGTCAGTTCAAAACCAGTTCTGGGCTGCTTGAAACTATGCCCTACCCCCACTCCCCTAAAAAGAGAAAGAACAGAGAGGGTGATGCTTATTGACTTGTAGAGGGTTTCTATCCCCAACACCCATCCTCAGTTGAAGATAACAGTACAAATGTCCCTTGGCTGCCTGCCCTCCGGGCGCCCAGTGCAGGGTGTGCCCCCTCAGGGACATGTGAGTAACCAGAGCTATGGCTTCACTGCCACTGCCTGGTATCCAGAATACTGAACTAGATTTTGTTTGCCCAAGGAAAATTCAAAATTGGGCTCAGCTGAGTCACACTGTTTTTACGCCATTGCCAAGTCCGAAAACTGTGGGTCAAACCATCAGTAGTCGGGGACGCCGTAATGTTAAAAGAACAACAGCAACAACAACAGAAAAACCAGGGCTGGTGAAATGACTTCGTGGATAAGGGAGCTGGCCACCAAGCCTGATGACCTGAGTTCAATTCCCAGAATCTTCATAGCGGAAAAACTTGTCTTCTGAGGGCCATGCTCATGCTTAACCCGCTCCCGGCCAATAAAATAAGTAAATGTAAAAAGAAAGAATTTTAAAGAACAGATAATGTTGAACCGTCGACATGAGCTGTCAGCTGTGCTGTTCTGATGCCCTGGCTCCTGTGTGGAGCTGACCTTTGGCTCCGAAGCACCCTCTGTGCCTAGCGCTCCCCTGACCTCTGCCTGGTGTCCCTCTAGGAGCGGGAGCAGATGCAGCGCTACAACCAGCGTATGATGGAGCAGCTGAAAATCAGACAGCAGCAGGAGAAGGCGCGGCTCCCCAAGATCCAGAGGAGCGACGGCAAGACACGCATGGCCATGTACAAGAAGAGCCTGCACATCAATGGCGCAGGCAGTGCCTCCGAGCAGCGCGAGAAGATCAAGCAGGTGGGGGCTGCACCCGGTAGGCTGTGGGGAGTGGTCACGGAGGGACCCAGTAAGACCTGGTAAGGCCATGGAAGGACAGGGTCCTGGGAGGGGATGTGTAAGTCGGTCAGGGCCTGGGAGCTTCAGTAGCCCAGGAGTCTCCTCCCCTGGTGGACAGACAGATCTGCATTTGACAGTTGTCGTGTACGGGTCCCTTTCATGATTCCACACTTTTTTTTTAATATTTATTTTTATTATATGTGCATTGGTGTTTTGCACGCATGTCTGTGAGGGTGTCAAATTCCCTGGAACTGGAGTTACAGGCAGTTGTGAGCTGCCACGTGGGTGCTGGGAATTGGACCTGGGTCCTCTGGAAGAGCAGCCAATGCTCTTAACCGCTGAGCCATCTCTCCAGTCCCAGCTTTTATGCTCATGGTGTTCTCTGTTCTCACCCAAGACCCTCTTACGTCTTCTATGTGACGTAGGCCCCTGAGATTTCTGTGTATACTGTCCTAGCACATGTCACCTCACCTTGTCTGGTCCCTACCAGTATGGGGCCAGAGGCTGGGTCTCCACTCCGGACAGGAGTTTCAATAGTGAGAGCATAACCTGAGGTAGACTGGGTTCTGAGCGTTGCTGCCCAGTCCCTGGGAGCAGCCTCACTGACTCAGGCAGAGGCTGGCCAAGCCCCCACCCAGCCTCCCGGGGCGAGCACCCATGGGAGCCTCCTCTCTCTGCAGTTCTCCCAGCAGGAGGAGAAGAGGCAGAAGGCGGAGAGGCTGCAGCAGCAGCAGAAACATGAGAACCAGATGCGGGACATGGTGGCCCAGTGTGAGAGCAACATGAGCGAGCTGCAGCAGCTGCAGGTAATCAGCCCCGTGCCTCGGCTTCCCCAAGGCAGCCAGTGCTCAGAGGCCAAGGGCTCCACAGCAGGGCCACATCCTGTCAGGCAGGCCCAGGTGCGCCGATTCCAGCCTGCCATGCTGCTCCATGTGTGCTACGCTGGATAAGTTGTGCGACCCTCGCAGACGTGCCTCCTCTAAAATAGCCATAGGGTGGAGGCGATGACTCCAGTATGGCAGGATTGGTGTGTGATGAAGCTGAAAGCGCCTCACACTCCGGGGCCTGAGCTGCCGTGTGGTTCCCTTGCTTGTGCAGGAATCCTGGCTTTGGGTGTCCCTACTCCTAGTTTGGCCCCAGGCGTTAGGGATATCAGCTAGCAGGAGGTGTTTGTCCATCAGAACTTGGCAGACCAGTTGTCTGGATTTCAACAGCAGAACATCTGAAGGCCCAGTCCAGGATCTGGTACTTGGGGCCCCCTTGTGACTGAGCCAGGCATTGTTGTTCTTGACAGATGAGTCCTCCATCCTCTATGGCTTTCAGGAAGTGGCTCAGGCCCTTGGGCTCAGGTGGAAATTAGTGGAGAGGCAGGGAGACTCCCGAGAAATGGCCAGCATTGGAGGTTGCCAGGCAGGGACTCTTCCGCCTGGGCATTAGTTAAGCACTTGCATTCTTCTCTCAAGACATTATGTGAATGTTGACTGAGAGACCCACGTAAATTGACATGCCTCACACAGTCGGTCACAGCAACACAGTGCTGTTCTGAGTATTTCTGATTAGACCACTTTGTAAACTCCCAGAAGCTTTCAGCTTGAGGCTCCAAATAAAACCCTTCTGAGGGTCTCTCCTGCCCCAGCCTGAAGGGCCCTTGTGTGGGGATAAAGGCCTTGTCCTTCCTTAGACTGAGTCCCTGCAGGGAGCCAGTGGGGACCTCACTCCTGTCTACCAGATTTCAGATAAAATTTATGAAGCAGATGACTTACCTCAGAGTGTGCCGTGGAGATGGGGCTAGCCTCAGCCTTGTTCCTTGCCAGAGATCTCTCCTCAGAAAATGACACAAGACAAGAGATATTATTATATATTAGTTACATATGTCATATGATATGTGACTAGACACAATGCACATTTATACATATAATTTCTGTAGGTAAGTAATTATACACACAGATTTAGCCTGCTTGGCTTGCCATAAAAAAAATACTGTAGCTAGATACAGTGGCATACACCTGCAGCGGCACGTACCTGCGGTGGTACACACCTGCAGCGGTTTGCACCTGCAGCGGCACGTACCTGCAGCGGCATGCACTTGCACCTGCAGCAGCACATACCCCCAGTCCTGCCACTTGAAAGACATCGGCAGGAGGGTGGCCTCAGACCAGGAGTTGCAGGCTGCTGTTTATTTATTTCCTTATTATGTACAAATGTATGTGTGTGAGTGTGGGCACACCCTGGCATATGTGCAGTTCAGAGGACTTTTAGGAGCCAGTTCTGTCATCCTTCCAGAGTGGGTTCTGGGGACCAAACTCAGGTTGCCAAGTCGACGGTGTTTTGCCCACTGAGTCATCTCACTAGCCCAAAACTATTTTAAAAAACACAGATAACAGCCGGGCAATGGTGACATATGCCTTTAATCCCAGCACTTGGGAAGTATAGGCAGGTGGATCTCTGTGAGTTCAAGGCCATCCTGGTCTACAAAGTAGTTCCAGGACAGGCTGCAAAAAAACAGACAATTTAGACAATCCACAGAAGGGTAGGCGGGATGGCTCAGTGACCAGAGCACTTGCACACAGGCCTAACAGTCTCAGTTTGATCCCCAGAACCATGCAAAGGGGAGAAGTGAAACGTGACTCCACAGTTGTTCTTTGGCGACACATATACACCATGGCCTACATGCCCCCCCCCACATACACGCGTGTGGAGTTCGAGGCCTCTCGTTCGTTCCCTGCTGTTCTGACTGGAAATAATCATTTAGATTTATTTATTTATTTATACAGTAGCCTACCTGTAGGCCAGAAGAGGGCACCAGATCTCATTACAGATGGTTGTGAGCCACCATGTGGTTGCTGGGAATTGAACTCAGGACCTCTGGAAGAGCAGTCAGTGCTCTTAACCACTGAGCCATCTCTCTCCAGCCCCCGAAATAATCATTTAGAAACTGTATTATTTGCAATACTGTTTGGCCAATAGCTTAAGCGTATTTCTGGCTAACTCTTATATCTTAAATTAACTTATATCTTAAATAATTTAACTAAATTAAATTAATTTAGTTTTTATATTCTACCATGAGGCTTGTGGCCTACCACCAAGGTCCTGGCATGTCTGTCTGACTCCACCTACTCTCTCTCTCTCTCTCTCTCTCTTTTTTTAGACAGGGTTTCTCTGTAGCTTTGGAGCCTGTCCTTGTAGACCAGGCTGGACTCAAACTCACCTGCCTCTGCCTCCTGAGTGCTGGGATTAAAGGCGTGCACCACCACTGCCCAGCTCCACCTACTCTCTCTATATCTCTCTTTCAGCCTGGTTTTACTCTGTTAAGCCATTGACCTAAAGCAGCATCTTTATTAACAAATGACAATAAAACATATTCACAGCATACATCACCTTCCACATCTCTCTCTCTCTCTCTTTCTCTCTCTCTCTCTCACACACACACACACACACACACAGACACACACACGCATAAGAAAGTTGCAAATTTTCTGTAAATTTACCCACTAAAAACTATTACCATTTGTGTTTTGGAATAGTCCTCTAGGCATTGCTTATTGCAGATTGTTGCAACTGTATTGCCACATGAAGAGTCGTGGATAATGGCAAAGGGTAATAAGCCCATGGTAGTTGTGGTGCCCTTGAGGGTGCAGGCGGTCTGGTTCCCCCGGCTTCTCCCTCCTTACTTTCACCCCTTTTCTGCCTATTCCAGAATGAAAAGTGTCACCTGTTGGTAGAACATGAAACCCAGAAGTTGAAGGCCCTGGATGAGAGCCATAACCAGAGCCTGAAGGAATGGAGGGACAAGCTGCGGCCACGCAAGAAGGTACTGAATTGGGCTGGTGGGTGCCTTGGACATCTGAAGCCTCCCTGACAGACAGGACCCACCGTCTGCTGTGCTAAACACTGGTAGCCCTCCGTACCTGGGATAGCAGCCTCCTCAGGCACTGGTCCATATACACCTAAGGCAGAGGACCCCACCCAGTGGAAGCAGAGGATCTGTCGTGAGCAGCACTCAACTCAGTCATGTTGCCAGGCTGGAGGCCCTGTTTGTGGGGAGTTTCTCCTGGGAAGTCGGTCCGTGAGATCAAAGGCCAGCACCAGCTAGTTTACTTTCTGAATTGGTTTCCTGATGTTTAAATCAGTGTGCTTGGGCTAGTGTGCAGCTCGAGGGGAGAGCGCCTGCCTAGCACGTGCTCGATGCTCTGTGTTCATCCCCAGCACCAAAGCAAACCGCCGTCTACTTAGCAGCTTAAGTCACAATTTTTACCAAATTCTGTAGTAATGGGGTTCCAAAGTTGGGGGTCTCTCCCAGGCATCTCCAGGGTCTCACAGGCTGGAGTCAGGCTGGACTGGGCCCTTAACTGTAGAAAAGGAACCCATCCTAGTTCATTGACATTTTGACAGAATCCTCACTGCGCTGGAGCAGTGTGACCAGGTGCCTCCCGCTCCTGCCATCTTACCTCCCCACGATGGGCTGGACCCTCAGACTATGAACCAAAACAGTCTTCCCTTAATTGCTCTTGACAGGTATTTTGTTGCAGAAATGACGAGTGACTAGCATAGTCATTGCAGGCCTCGGTGCAGTCATGGTAGAGATGAGATCGTAAGACCCTTTAGCGGCCATTCGCCCACAGCATGTATCAAAGCACAGCCACCTTAAACCACCCTTGACCTTGTGCCCCACTTGGCCTGATGTCCTGAGGGTTTTTTTAGCCACTGTGTACCTGGACGGAGGCAGGCTGTGGCCTGCTGGGACTTGTGACACTAAACCCACAGGTATCCAGTGTTCCCGCTGGCTCTGCCTCACAGAATGAACATACATCTGCCTGTCCAGCTCTGGGCACATCCTGAAAATGAGCAGAAGTCTCTCAGAGCAGCTGCCCATGACCTGAGATAGTCGCTTGGGCTCCTGGAAGCACTGCAGTCTTGTGCTTGGTGAGCTGGCCCTGCATCAGCCTGTGGCACTGCCTCAGGGCAGGGTTCTGTCACAGCCGCCTGAGTGGCTGCTGGCACGGTGACCCAGAGGTGATAGTCCTCTGTGCCTTTGCTTTGTGGTCCGCAGCCTCAAGCACTGTCCTCCCCTTATATCATACCCTGCGGAATATTTTTAGAAGAATTCAGATGACTTCCTTCCAAGTGAGCCAGACTTCCTGATTTGCTGGGGTCACTGTGAGGACAGAGTGGAGCCTCAGAGTCGTCGGCTCTCCCTCCTCAGTTTGCCTCTTTAGACTGTATAATGCAGACCTATTATCTGCATTCTAAAATGTGTCTATAGAAGCTAGTGTTAGCACACTGCTGCCTGTGGGCCAAGTCTGCCCGACTACCCATTTGTCAATAAGTTTGATTAGAAAGCAACCCATTCGTTTGCCTTCTGCGTGGCTGATTTTGCCTTGCAGCAGAAACTCTGGTCTGAGAAGCAGAGCGTCTCCCATATAGGCAGGGAAACTGCCCCCATGAAAGCTCAACAATATCACTGAAACAGGGCCTGCACAATGACAATATAGGTTGCCAGTCCAGCATGGGTGGGGGAAGTCTCACATGGCCTCACTCGAGATGAAGAGTTAGAGGTAGTTAAATGGTTGCCGAGAGAAGCATCAGTCTTCTCCAGGGGTGAGCCCCCGAAGTTAGCCAACCCCAAGCAGTCATTTCTAACACATATACAAATGAACAGCAGAAAATGGACTCATTAGGCTGTATCCATATACATATGGATATATGCATGTTTACATGTATATACTTCATAATGGTAGCCAAAGAAGAAGAGGTCACAGATTAGAGAGGAAGTAGTGGGGGATACGTGGGAGAGCTGGAAGAAATGAGGTAAATACAGTATTCGTGTATGGCATTCTCAAAAAAAATTTGTTTAAATGTTTACCGTCTGGCGCACAGCAGGAGACACGCCGCTGCCCGTGGCCTTCGCAGGCTTTGCCTAGGAATGCTTGTGGTGGGCAGAAGGCGAGGCTTGAGTTGCAGGCTTCAGTCCCTCCAGCAGATGCTTGGTTTGGGGTTTCAGATCCTTCTCCAAGGTTGGGATATTTGCATATGTATAATGAGATGTCTGGGGAACAAGACCTCTTAGTTACTTCTCTCGTCTTGTGGTGGAACACCAGACAGAAGGTTTATTTTGGCTACACTGGAGGTTGAGGTGCTGGTCACAGCAGAGGCAGATGGCAGGAAGCAGAACAGAACTATACCCCTCAACCCTCCCCACACACCCGTGACCCTGGCTTCACCAGCCACCCCACCTGCCTGGGGGTGGAGTGTTCAGGCACAGGAGCCTCTGCTGACATTCCACGCTCACACCTTAACAGACCCCGGTCTAGAGAAACTCAGCGGTGTCTCCCGGGTCCCTGCACACAGCTAGAAGGGTTTTTTTTGTTTTGGTTTGGTTTTTGTTTTGGTTTTTTTGTTTTGTTTTGTTTTTTAAATTTTTTTATGGTTTATTTAACCTTTTTTTTTTAATTTTATGTGCATTGGTGTGAAGGTGTCAGATCCCCTGCAGCTGGATCTTCAGACAGTTGTGAGCTGCCTTGTGGGTGCTGGGAATTGAACCCGGGTCCTCTGCAAGAGCAGTCAGTGCTCTTAACCACTGAGCCATCTCTCCAGCCCCCTGGTTTTTTTTTTTTTTTTTTTTTTTTTTTTTTTTTTTTTT